CACCAATGTGATCTGATGGACAATGCAGTACCAGGCTGGGGGCTGGATCCTAGCGTGTGGCTGTGGCCCCTGTGGCCGTGCGAGGCCGTGTGGTGGGCAGTGCAGGCTTTGGCCCCTGTGGCCGTGCGAGGCCGTGTGGTGGGCAGTGCAGGCTTTGGCCCCTGTGGCCGTGCGAGGCCGTGTGGTGGGCAGTGCAGGGGCTGTTTCACGGGCTTCTTGGAGCTCTGGTCAGCTGGCTCTGGACCATCGGGGTCAGACGAGTGGGCCTGCTCAGTGAGCCGTCAGCATCCACGCCTGAGGCCTCCTGGAACTGGGCTCCTGTGCTCCAGATGGGCAGATCCAAGCCCTGGACTCTACCATCCTCAGCCAACCAGCACCTGGGCACCCCGGAGCCAGTGTGGGGGCCTCGGGTCCCCGACCGTGTGAGCAGCCAGTGGCCACCTGTCCTGGCCCGAGGGGAGAAAGCGCGTCTCCCTGCGGAAAGTGCACACACTGCCGGGCGAGGCTGGTGAGGGCCGTCACATGCTGCCGGGCAAGGCTGGTGAGGGCCGTCACACACACGCGGGGCCACTGGCTGCAGATGGACGTTTCTGAAAGGAGCCAGCGGGAGCCTGGTGTCTGCCCTCTGAGGTCAGCGCTTCCCCCGTCACTATTTTCTCACAGTACCGATGCGAAAGTTCCCTGCAGTACCTCTTAGACTAGGTTTAAGTCCTGAATTCAGGCTGCAGCCCTGAGTTAATGGAACTTTTACCCAGATGCTGCCAAGATTTTGGGAAGAACAACAGGCCCTTCCCCGGCGTGTCCAGAGCAAGTGGCGTCATGTCCACGATGGCACAGGGTTGTGGGATGTGGCCCGAGGAGCTCAAAACTGGCATTGGTCAACAAGAGCCCCAGAGACACAGGGTGGGTCTGCCAAGGACCCTCAGGGACCACCAGGGCCTGGAGGCTCCAGTGTGGATGAGCTGGGCAGCTCTGGCCAGCAGGGGCTGGGGCCCCAGGGCCAGGGCCCTGTGCATGGCCCCTGGCAAGGTGCCTGGCTGGCCGTCCATCCGTGGGGTGAGCTCGGCCCAGGCGGGCAGGGTCCCTCCAGGTGGGCGTGAGTGTTGCTGGCTCCCGGAGCCTTGGAGAAGCTCTGCCCATTCCACAGCCGTCAGGCCAGGGGCCACTCCCTCAGGAGCCCACTCGGCCGATGCCACCTTGTCAGTCCAGCCAGCGGGGCCTCCTGTGTGGCCTTCAAAGCCACAGGCCTCTTTCTAGAAACCTCTTTGCAGTTCATTTGTGGTGATTTATCCCTGGACGGGTTCTCAGGATTCTGTCCTTCTCCACCCGGCTTTTCTCTGGGTCAAGCGCTGACCCCAGCCAGGCAGAGGCGAAGACGCCCTGACACACAGCCTGTCCTGCCTGGTGGGCGCAGCTCCGGGACTGACTGGTGGCAGGTGTGGCTGCTCCCAGCTGCCCTGTGTCTCCTGCCCAGGGAGTTCCAAGCACAGGTTGGGGTTTGGTCTTAAAGTAAAATCCCAGTCTGGGTCTCAGATGCTGAAACCATCCCTGGTCCCCCGTGTGGCCCCTGCAGTGGCAGCACCCGCCCTGGGGACCCACGTTTGGCCCAGACAGAGGCTGTAGCACAGGTGGCCACGTCCCACGGGAGCATCAAGCCACGAGTCTTGGTCGTCCCCTTGGGACCAAGGAGAAGAAGCAGCCACTCCGTGGCCCCCACTCCGTGGCCCCCACTCCACGGCCCCCACCAGCTGCGGCTCCAGCGTCCTTCCAGGAGGCAGGCAGGGTCCCGACTGCATCTCAGGCACCTGCCTCGCGGCGTTCCGGCTGCCCCAACCTTCCCTGCGGACTCGTGGCCTGCTGGGGTCAGAGAGCAGCAGTAATCGCTCCACCCCTTGCAGACAAGGAAGCTGAGGCTGAGGGACATGGGGACCCTGCCAGAGGGGACGCGGGAAGCGGGGCTGGCTCTGCTCCCGGCAAGCTCTACCGCAGACTGAGACACACAGAAAGCAGCGTTTCCCTTTCTCAACAGAACACGCTTGAGCCCCAGAAGCAAGTGGGTCTGTGCAGGAGGGTGGGGGCGGGATGGCACATGGGTGCAGGTGCCGCCTTGGCGTCTTCCCGCCCTCGGTCCCAGCTCGGGGTCTCTTCCAGGCTGGCTCAGAGGCCGCTGTCCGAGCAGCCTGCGTTTGTGTGCCAAGTCCTCACTGTGCCCTCCTCACTCGGCACTGACTGGCTGCCCGTGGTGGGGGCCGAGCGGGGCTTTCTCCCCATTTGCAGAACAAGTAAACTGAGGCTCCAGCCCCTGCCCTCACTACCAGCATCAGAGGCTCCCGGGGAGCAGACCGTGGCCACCCAACCAGGCTGGGAGCAGAAAAGAGGGATCTTTGGAGTGGCTGAGCGTACAGCCTGGAGCCCTGGCAGCCCCGCTCATCCCAAACGCTGCCAGGTGCTGAGAACCCCGCGGGGAGCAGATGGTGGCCAACGCAGTGTTACAAAGCTTTCTGTAAATATTTTATTTTCCATATTTTAGAGTCAGAAAGAAGCGCTTGGTAATAAAAATAATAGAGAATTATTTTCTTCGAACCCGCTCTGCCCTGCGCCGGCCTCCCCGTGCCCGGGCCTGCGGCTGAGTGCACGGCGTCAGAGGCCCCACGTCCATCTCACTATTTACAGATATGTTACAGACCAGGACGGTCACAGAGGAAAGCCCAGCTCTCAGGTGGCCCCACGTGGTGAGGAGCCCCCATGCTCCTCCGCTGTTTCGGACAGAGGCTGAGGAGCCTGCTGCATCCCATGGGGGCCTAGGCTGCGGCGGGCTCCACGGGCGGGCAGGAGTGGGCGGTGATGTCACTGTGCTTGTATGCCGCCTCGTCCAGGTCCAGCAGCCTCCGGTTGACCTCCAGTGTCATGCAGCCGCGGTAGAATGCGGTGACTGGTGCTGAAGTCACCGGCACATCTGGGCCGCGGGGAGAGAACAAACACATCTTAGCAGACCCAGCCTGGGTCCCAGGGATCGCCGCGTGGCCGGCCCTGCCTGGTCCCCCACCCCCGGCAGCACTTGTGGCCAGCCCTGGGTTTCCTCTGAAAGGGCAGGATTTCCCTTTCTTCTCTAACTTCTGTCCCTGTTTGTTCGGCTGCAGACCCGGCAGACAAGTAGGAGGCATCCGCCAGCCTGGGCTCTGCAGACACCGGCCCTCCCTTCCCCGCCGGGAGCACAGACAGTCCCATCGATTAAACGCGATCTTCTTCTTTGCCCGGTGAGTCATTCAGGCTGCAGGCCTCCTGGCTTGCTCTCATCCTCTTCAAAGCTCTGTTTATTAAAACTAAGTGGAGCCTGTGTCTGGCAGCCAAGACAGAAATCCTGCCATTTGCTGCAAGTGAAAACCTGCGGGCAGCCAAGGACTAGCGGGCTCCCACGTGCCTTCCTGTTCACCCTCCCAGCTAATGGCAAGGACATCCCTGGTCCCAGCCTCTGTGCTGTGTAGCCCATGGGACACGGCGGGGCGCCCTGCTGGACGTGGGAGGGGCTGGCTGCTAACAGCTGTGGTGACAGCCGTGGGTCCCAACTGCAGCGTGGCCCGAGGTCTGCCCAGCCCTCTCCCCAGGGGCCGGTCTGATGGGTGTGGACAAACGCTCCCTGAAGATGTAGGTTCACGGGGTCTGACTCAGGCCAATGCCGGCCCCTGTACGTGTTTCTCAGCCTCAGCTGATGACCTGACCAGCACCGAGGCACCATAATGGCCACTAAAGACCCACCTGGACTTCCCCTTCCTCTTAAAACACACAACCAGGAATGGCAGCCTGTCCAGGTTCGATCTGGGGTGACCAAGCTGGGCATCCCTGGAGCCCCTCACTCGGGATGAGCAGGGCAGGGAGCACCTACCTGGCAGGCCACCGGCAAAGGTGAGCACGGGGCTCCGCAGGTGCTTCTCGAGCACGGCCAGCCTCTCCTGCAGCTGCGCGGCGCTCACCTCGCTCTGGCCCCTGGTGCCGTCCACCTCCAGGGTGGCCTCACCCTCCCTCAGCGAGATGGTGACCATGTGCTCTTGACCATCGCAGACCTTGATCTCCATTAGGGCCAAGGCCACGTGCTCCACGGCCAGGACCACCAGCTGCAGGAGACCGAGATGTGGTCAGGGCCTGCCAGCCGCCCCCATGTAAGCTGTTAGGTCCAAGCTGGTCCTCACAGCTGCCGGCCACCCCCGCGCCGCATGCCTGTCTCCGTCCAGGGTTCCCTGCAGCCCTGGGTCCGGATGCTCGCTGACTGGATGACGCCCCCACCCCACCTGGGGCTCAGCTTCTCTGCGCGTAAAGCCAGGGGCCAGCCTGGGAGGCTGTGGGGGAGCAGGTGTGGCCCCCAGGTTGAGTGTGAGAGGGTCAACCCCAGCCCCAGGCACCAGGCACACACAGGACCGAGGCTGCACTTGACCAGGAACTGGTGTGTCCCTGACGGGGACCCAGGGACCAGCCCTGTGGTGGTGGACTCCCAGCCCAGTGGGCTCTCACGCTGGCACCGCAGCCCAGCTGCCCGCTCCCCAGCCCAGGGGTCAGCTGTTGCTACATAAGGGCGGCTGTTTATTCCAGATGCCAGGATTGCGTCTGGCCCTGGTGATGAGCATTTGCGTGAACCAAGCCTGTCACTGTTGCATCCAAGCAACCAGGAGGGCCCTGTGGCCCTGGGGTGGGCAGACTTGGAGAACAAGGGCCTCTCTGGTTTGACCCATGTCGTCCTCCTTAGCACAGGAGCGACAGAATACAACCTGTTTCTGTCACCTTCTGATTGTTCTGTGGGGAAAACAGCATGACTCCCCTGGCCCAAGACAGCTGACTTATTGTGAGGACCGGGGGTGGGGGACCTCATCCAAGGGGCAGCTGCACTCAGCTCCACCCACTGTCCCTCAGGGAAAGACCTGTGGGGGGCACCAGCCGAGGTCACAGATCTGACTTTTCCAGGGAAATTGGAAAACTGAGTTTGTTGCTGAAATCATCTGACTTAAACATGAGAGACTAATTCAGTTTGCTGTGAGCCACCATCTGCCCAGCCGAACGGGGAAAGCTCCCACGCTGTGGGCCGAGTGTGGCTCACAGGCACCGGACCCCCAGTCAGCCGTGTCCAAACCCCCACAGTTGGAAGGGTAGCCCGCGCCAGGCTTGGCTCATTGGACCTCTGGTCAGAGGCTTTTGGGGCTCCCTGCGGATCCCACCCCAGGCCCCCTCCGTCCCCTGCCAGGGAGTGCGGCCCATGTGCCTGTGGGGCGAGCCGGTCAGGACACCTTGGGTGGCGGAGGCCCTACCTGCTTCTTGAGCTTCTTTGTGGAGTGATAGTCTACCAGGGCCACAGAGAGAGGCACGGCACGGAGGTCGGGGACCCAGAGTGCGAACAGCACCCCTGTGTCTGCGGCCGGGCGGATGTGAGCCACGACTTCTATTTCCCAGGTCGATTCTGTCCCGATGTCCAGAGGGGTCCGCACTGCGACGAAAGCGGTGTGTTATAGGGTGGGATGCAGTGGAGAGGCCACAGTGAGGTCGGAGCGGGGCCCTGAGAGAGGCAGTCCCGGCCGCGGTGGGAAGCTATGCGGAAGGCCCCGATCTGGGATGTGATGGAAAACTCGAGAGTCTGGTTCAGATCTTGGCCCAGAGCCCAGAGGCACCGGGGACCCCCAGGCTCTCTCTCCCTGGCCACACCAGTACCCCACTTGCAAATCCGCTCTAGGCGACCACCAGGCCACGCAGACCTGCCTGAGGGGACATGGGCTGTGCACCATGGGATGCAGGCCTGTCCCTGCCTTGCTCTGATGTCCTCTTGTTTCAGGAGCGCCTGGCAGCTCCTTCCTCAGAGCACGTACAGGTGCATGGCCTCGTGCCTCGAGTCTCACCTGCAGCTTCTGAGCAGCAGCACAGGCTCAGCGTGAGTCAAGAGTGCAGACAAGAGCTGTCGGGAGCATGGCGGTCTGGGGTCTGAGCTGTCAGCAACACGCGTGGTCTGGGGTCTGAGCTGTCAGCAGCACGCGTGGTCTGGGGTCTGAGCTGTCAGGAGCATG